AGGGCGGGGGATGCCTGGTCGGCGGGAACCCGGCACGGAACCCTCCGGCGTTGTAGGCGGGTGTGGGAAGCGTTCCCCGTTCTCCTTTTATTTTATTTTGATCGGTCTCCTCGACGCTCTTTCTCGTTTGGTGCGGTAGCTGGTCTTTCTTTCTATCATTTTGTTTCTCTTCCGAGTGGTTTTTGTACCCTATTTTTTTCTGTTTCTTCGTGGGGTCGTGTATGCCGGGTTTTGAGACCACGGGCTCCCAATCTTTTTCTGTAGAGCTAATGTGAGAAACAACAACAACAACAACAACAACAACATACATGTTCATCGTCGAAGTATCGCCGCATTCCTCTTCATGAAGTCTCGCCGCATTCCTCTTCATGCACGTTACACGTGAACCGACACTCACGTCTTCCTAGAACCAATCATATACGACCTTGTAAACTGCCGCAATAGTTCTGTGTCTTAATTTATTCCACATCACCCTCCAAAGCAATGTACTGCTGCTTCAAAGTAGATTTCTACGGAGGAAGTTTGACAACAAATATATCGACACTGACATTGCATCATAGTCTACCATTGAATGATAACGGCCTCAGCCTTTACAACGTTTTCCTCCTGAAGTTATTAGGCTAATGAGAATACTTCATAAATGAAACCGTCAAATAGACTACAGATCGATACCATATTCCGACTGCAACCTTGCACGAACTCCTTGGTCCAGATCCATCTTACACAACTCCAACCTTACGAATTGCGGAGTATCTTCCCACATCTTTTTCAACGGCTCCCACGTGCTTTCATCTCGCTCGAATCCGGCCCATTCTACCTTGACTTGTATTGTACCGTCCTCATTTTCACCAATGCCTACAATAGAAGACATCGTGAACTCGCCCTGTGTGTACGCATGCTGAAAAACATGCTTCAACTCGGAAGTCACTTCTAACTCGCTATTCAAATAAAACCTTAGTCGAGCTACATGCACGTCGTGTAAGTCCCCTAAAATGATGTTGTGCACTCCGTATACATGCGTACTCTTTGCCTCGACCACTTTCCATGGACCGGTCTACGTCATCATAAGCTTCGACGTCGAACCCGGTCTACGCACCCGCGCCCTAAGTACGAAATCACCAACCCCAAAATTAGGTAGCTCGCCCCGGTTAGCATGCCCCCGCTATTTTTCGCGATTATATTTGACCATTTCCTGGACCTGTTTATGCATTTCTTGTTGAACACCCACTAGATAAATCACCTTTCGTTTGAGTCCTTCGTCATCTAGCACGTCTTTTTGCCAATCTTGTCCAGTCGCAGACGCTAGCATGGAAAAACTAGTTCGCGGTGCCCTACCAAACATGGCATGATACGGTGTGCTCGCGTAACGTTGACGATAAGCGGTATTCAGTGCCCACTACTGTACAGCCGGGACCAAATCTACCCACTCGCTCACGTCGCGCCTTTCTTCCTGCAAAACCGCCTTCAAACAGCGCACAATTTCTTTCCTCATGCGTTCTACTGTTCCGTTACTCCGTGGCATATTTGCTACCGCGAATTTGTGCTTTACCTTCAGAGCTTGTTCAAGTTTGCTCATGATTTGATTCTTAAAGTGCGATGCGGTATCGCTGACCCACATCTGCGATACATCCAAAGTCTTACACCAGTTGAGCAAAATATTGGCTGTTAGAGCGACTGTGCACGATTCCGTTGGTTCTAACCAAACGAAGTTGCAAAGATCATCTATCACCACTAATATGTATTTGAATCCAACGCCTTCATCCAAGCCTTCGATATTCAACGGCCCACTCTGGCCAACACACATATAGTCAAAACGAATTACTTCGCCCGGCCATGTACCATACACTGTTTCTCCAAGCGGCCTTGGGATCATTTCACCCGCCCTCGAATCTACATAATGCAAGCACCATTTGACAAACTCTTTCACCTGTTTTTCCATGCGAACCCAACAGCAGTACTCTTGTAATCGTTGCAAAGTTGCCACCGTACCCCGATGTCCTGCGCCTCGCATATGAGCGCAGACCATGAGACGTCGTTGTAGTTCTTGGCATCTTCAGGAATCCACATGATCTCGCGCCCCTTCACCTTGATTCAAATATTCCTTCGTATCCTTCACGGACTTTCCATGTGGCGCCATGAAAACCTCCGCTCCATGCGCCCTAGTTCTGACTTGTTCGCGTGCACTCTGCTGCTGAACTCGACGAATCACCTCTTTCGACGGCATCGTGTCGTCAGGTTCGCTCGGCGCAAACACAGCCACAGCCCTAACCTTCACTGCGGGAACATTGACCCACCTCGAAAGTAAGTCCCCCCAACAGTTCCTCTCGCCACAGATGTGCATGATGGAATATTGGAATTGCGCCAACACCATCTTCCACTGCACCAGACGCTGGGCAGTAGTCTTCGGCAACGACGACATGCACGCATCAGGATTGAAAATGAATGCGAGCTTGCGGTGGTCAATGTATACATTAACACCGCCCCACAGCAAGTAGTCCAGCCGCTTGNCGTTGTAGTTCTTGGCATCTTCAGGAATCCACATGATCTCGCGCCCCTTCACCTTGATTCAAATATTCCTTCGTATCCTTCACGGACTTTCCATGTGGCGCCATGAAAACCTCCGCTCCATGCGCCCTAGTTCTGACTTGTTCGCGTGCACTCTGCTGCTGAACTCGACGAATCACCTCTTTCGACGGCATCGTGTCGTCAGGTTCGCTCGGCGCAAACACAGCNTAATGCAAGCACCATTTGACAAACTCTTTCACCTGTTTTTCCATGCGAACCCAACAGCAGTACTCTTGTAATCGTTGCAAAGTTGCCACCGTACCCCGATGTCCTGCGCCTCGCATATGAGCGCAGACCATGAGACGTCGTTGTAGTTCTTGGCATCTTCAGGAATCCACATGATCTCGCGCCCCTTCACCTTGATTCAAATATTCCTTCGTATCCTTCACGGACTTTCCATGTGGCGCCATGAAAACCTCCGCTCCATGCGCCCTAGTTCTGACTTGTTCGCGTGCACTCTGCTGCTGAACTCGACGAATCACCTCTTTCGACGGCATCGTGTCGTCAGGTTCGCTCGGCGCAAACACAGCCACAGCCCTAACCTTCACTGCGGGAACATTGACCCACCTCGAAAGTAAGTCCCCCCAACAGTTCCTCTCGCCACAGATGTGCATGATGGAATATTGGAATTGCGCCAACACCATCTTCCACTGCACCAGACGCTGGGCAGTAGTCTTCGGCAACGACGACATGCACGCATCAGGATTGAAAATGAATGCGAGCTTGCGGTGGTCAATGTATACATTAACACCGCCCCACAGCAAGTAGTCCAGCCGCTTGCACGTACTGAAGATGGCGAAGCCTTCTTTGTCGACCGTCGCCCATCTCATTTTAGAGCCCTTGAACGTACCGCTAAGGAAGGCGAGCGGCTCGTGGGTCATATCTTCCACGGACACTTTACGCTCCAGCTCTTCCTGCGGCACCTGCGTCAAGAAACTACCCCAATGCTCACAGACGCATCGGGAAACATCAGCACAGCAAAACCCTCCTTCGGATGTGACAACGCCACCGCATGTGCCACCAAATCCTGTGCCGATGTCCATGCCTTAGCCATGCCGGCAGTCCACGCCTCGCTCTTTATCGCACGATTAGACGCAATCCTCTTTGTCCGACGAGGTGCCGACGCCATGTGCTCCTCCAGCAAGCGTCGGAGAGGTTCCACCACCTCCGCCAGCCGCGGCAACGATGTTCGCAACCAGTTAACCGCCTGCAAAACTTGCATCAGTTCTCCTGCCGTCTCAGGCCTCCGCATGTCGGCCAATCCTTGTAGACGCGCAGGATCGTGGGCCACCTGTCCACCGGAGTACACCTTGCCACACCACTTGATCTTCGTATCAAAGAANTTACGCTCCAGCTCTTCCTGCGGCACCTGCGTCAAGAAACTACCCCAATGCTCACAGACGCATCGGGAAACATCAGCACAGCAAAACCCTCCTTCGGATGTGACAACGCCACCGCATGTGCCACCAAATCCTGTGCCGATGTCCATGCCTTAGCCATGCCGGCAGTCCACGCCTCGCTCTTTATCGCACGATTAGACGCAATCCTCTTTGTCCGACGAGGTGCCGACGCCATGTGCTCCTCCAGCAAGCGTCGGAGAGGTTCCACCACCTCCGCCAGCCGCGGCAACGATGTTCGCAACCAGTTAACCGCCTGCAAAACTTGCATCAGTTCTCCTGCCGTCTCAGGCCTCCGCATGTCGGCCAATCCTTGTAGACGCGCAGGATCGTGGGCCACCTGTCCACCGGAGTACACCTTGCCACACCACTTGATCTTCGTATCAAAGAAAAGACACATATGCGCAGCAGCGAAAATACCCTTGTCCTCCAGACGCCGAAGAATTTCGTCCAAAGCGTTCGGCAGATCAGTCTCGTCGATACCCCACCATACAACGTCATCGACCCAGACCATGCAGTTCAATCCTTGCAGAATTTCCGTCATCACTGCTTGAAAGTATCCCGTCGCGTTGAGCACCCCTTGCGGTCACGATAGTAAAAATTTCACGCGCGCTCGCAGCTAACGGCATCTGCCAGTACCCTTGCAGCAGATCAAGTTTCCCGAAGCATTTCGCGCCCATTATCATATACATCTGTGCCTCCTGGTCGGGCATTACGTTTGGCACCTTTTCACACTGCAGATTCGCCCGAGAGTAATCACTCACAAGACGATACTCACCCGCACGGCCTCGCTTGGGCACCGCCATAGCCGGGCTCGCCCAGACCGCCTGAATAGTCCGTACGACCATACCCATGGCAACCAGAGCCGCCATGCATCCAGTCAACCACGTAGCCTTTGCGGGGGAGTAAACACGCGCCTTCGCCTTAACGGGTTGCGCGCCAGGCTTGAGAGTCACCTTCATTCAGTGGCTCCACCTTCGCCGGAGGGTCCCCCCGGAGCGCCCGACGAAACGCGCCAAACCGCCGTCCAAGGATTTCTTTCAGACGCGTCACATCCGCCGACGACAAGCCATTCCCTGCGGCCTGTTGAACCGCGTGATCCAGAGCTACCTTGCGCTGGGCCTCCTCTTCCTCCGGGGCCATGGACATGTTGGGCCCTCGAGACAACGCCCGAGTCACAGACTCATCATGCAATTCCACCGGTTCTACTTTGTTGTTATGCTGCAGCGCCTCTACCGCCACAGCAACACGCCGGCATTCATGGAACGCCGCGTTCTCCACCCCCTTTACGGAAGCGATAGCTTTCTGCCGCGCATGGACGGCAAGACTGCCGTATACGTCTATCCCCAACTTCTTCAGGGTTGCTCTTGCCAGCAGGATCGTGTCGTCCTCGCCGGGCATGACCGAAAACGGAATGGCTCCAACACCACCGAACCCCACTCCGTGTGCAACGCCAGCCGCAACGGACATGTCTTTTTCGTTGCAGGCACTAAACTGCCGTCTGCCATCCGTACATGATGCGCACCCTCCGTAGGATGCGTGACCGAAACACTAGGAAAGCATGCCTGTAACTTGCGCGCGACGCGCTCAGACATTGACGTCGGATCTGACCCAGAGTCGAGCACCGCACGTACCAGGTACACCACGTACCAGTGCGATCCACATCGACCCCTTCGGCGTGCAAGCTCGCGACGCCATCCATGGACTGGGACCGCCGCGCCGGAACCGTCGTAGCGTCAGGTGACGCCGTAGTCCCTTGAACGGGAACAGGGGGCGGGGGAAGTGCTGCTGCCATCCCATCGCCCCCACCTTGCTTCTGCTCCTCTGAAAAAGTGGCCCTACTCTGGACGATTGAACCCGGCTGCTGACCCGCTCGCTGCTGACCCCCCTGCTGCTGCTGACGAGGTCGCGCCGGCGATTTTTCAGACCCTGCCGCCGCTGGCGCAGGTTTGCCCCCAGACTTCGCAGACGATGCCCGCTTGCAGTCTCGAGCGATATGGCCTGGCTTGTCGCATACCCAGCAATTCCCAGAAGAGCCGGACTGGCCACCGCGCCCACTGCCGGAACGCTGGCCCCGCGCCTTGCCAGCCGCGCCACCACGAGCCGCCTTTCAGACTTATCGCCAGCAGCACGAGCTCCGCCACGGGTTTTACGCTCCGCGTCACGGGGTTGACGCTCCGCATCTACATTCTCTATTTTCTTCCAGTCAATGGCCTCCTTGACCATCACAGCTAATACGCGCCCAGGCTCCGTCTTCCAATTTCCTTGGAGCTCCAGAGAGCTCTCCACGTTTGCCTTGAATTCTGGAGGCGAAATTTCTTTCACCAGAGCCTTGCTGACTACGTGCGCCGACTCTTCGAGCCATTCGTCGTCGGCGTTGCAGTACAGCCGAGCCACATTCGGGTTCTCTGCCAGATAGTATTCCAACGCGCTATGAACAGCATATACTCGTTCCAGCACCGAGGCACCCGGCTTCACGGTAGCCGCGCGGGTCACACCCGCCTTCGCCTCGGCTGGCTCAACCAAAGCCTCTCCCGAAATTTCGGCGTTGAGCGACAGACCTTCCCGCAGCTCTGCCTCCGTCAGAATTTTCTTGCCCTCAAAGTGTAGAGAAGACAAGCATTTGCGGATGTGCACCAGCAGCAACTCGGGAATCGACGTAGGCTTCCTTTGCACTACCCGACCTTCGTTGCCGCGCGTCACCACGCGCTCATACTCCGCGTACCGAAGCAGAAACCGCCTAGATGCAGCAGCGGACAGCGTCTTCCCATATTCGGGTGGCTCCTGGGTGGAGCCGAGCACTACCTCGCTCACACTCACCCGAGTAGGACTCGCTTCGCCGTCCGCGGCACTGCCGCCGCGTCCGCTTCTGCCTCGCCCTGCCACCTCCTGACCACTCTTCGCGACCAGGACCTTTTTTCTTGTCGTTGCAGCTCACCTCGCCACAGCCGCAGCAGATTCTCACACCAACTTCGATGCGAGGTACGTACTCCAGTCCGCTGCTGTACACAACTTGAAACCTCCGACCGATCTTCGAAGAGACCGCCAGATTAACTAGTTAATGTGGAACCCTCGTCCAATCGAGGGAGTTTGTTTGTGCTCTGAGGAGCCCTCGTGTTATTTTCCTAACCTCAGAGATGCAAGACCGTTGGTTAACACACCACACAGTTCTTCATTATTCAGGACTGACCTCGACGAGGCATCCACACATACGTCTACACGATTCCCCTCGGCCTGCTCCCCGGCCGGGGCCGAAATCGACCTAGTGAGTCCCTCGCGGGCGAACCAGGCCACAACAGGTATTAGGCGGGTGGTGTCCCAAGGTGCAACTCACCGCCGCGCTGGCTCAGCGTGGCGGTGAGGATGCACAGACGGTGGTAGTGGCGAGAGGTGTGTATGGACACTGTTCCCGCGGCAGTAATGCAAAGCGGCAAACTGCACCTGGCAACCACCGTCGCGGAAAGCGTGGCCCACGAAGCTGGAGGAGTAGAGAGATTCGTAAACACCACGTCAGTAAGCACCGCTCGCGGGAGAAAAGAGACAACCGCGGGCACCGCGGGGAGGGAGTGCTGCACCCTCCTCGTCAAAACACCACAGGCAAGAACCGAGCTCTGCAGAGATGGATTGATGCGAGGAAATTCGCCGCTCGGAAAACACGGAAGAAAGGACACCCGCAACGCGAGGTGAACCGAGAGAGACACGAGACCGCAGCGGTCGTAAAGGCGGATGCGAAGAAGAAGGCACGAGAGGGCGACCTATCGTTCGGCACGTTCAACGTACGCACGCTCGCCTACAGCGGTATGGACCCCATCGGTCACAACGTGATGACGGTCATACAGATTTGTTCCGCGACCGGCTGTGATGTGATAGGACTTCAGGAGACCCGACGAGAGGGGCAAGGTTCAATTGCACACGACGGGTACGTCATCATCTGGAGTGGCGCCCGTGCTGGCACCAAGGACAAGAGGGGCGTACACGGTGTGGGCATAGCGATCAAGGAGGCCATGTGGGAGAGTGTGGGCGAGGAAGGTAGGACGGTGGAGTGCATTAGCCCGAGGCTGATGAAGGTGCGCCTGCAAATTGGCCGCACCTGCGGAGTAACTTTCGTGGTGGGGTACGCCCCCACGAAAACTGTCCGCATCACCGCGGGCGGTGATGTTAACGCCAACGACTCCTTCTGGACTGCTCTCGACGCAGTGATCCGGGAGGTTCACAGCCATGACCATCTCGTGGTGCTAATGGACGCAAACGCACGCACTGGTAGGAGGCGAGACGGGTGCTGCGATGCCAAGATTATGGGCGCGTACGGACGCGACATTATGAACAACAACGGGGAACGACTCCTTGGACTGGCGTCAGACAACCAACTCTCCCTGACCAACACCTACTTCCGAATACCGAAAGGTGGAGTGCAGCACACATTCCAGAGCTCCAACAAGGGGAAGGAGAAGCACCGCCTCGACTTCATCCTCATGCCTCAGACGGACCAGCGTTTCGTGCGTAATGTCTCCGTCAAACGTGTCGACTTCAAAGACTCTGACCACAACCTCGTGCTTACGACTGTCCGCCTCCCCCCCCGTGTCGCACCCAACCTACGAGTGCGGGGGAACAACGGGAGCAGCCGGATCCGTATCGACCTCGAACGGTTGAGGACGGACAAGCACCTACGGGTCGCCTTCCAAAACAGGGCCTCCAGCCGCCCTCCGCCCACGGCGCTCAGGCGGCCAACGGGAGAGACCGCCGCCGAGCTGACGGCTACGGTGATGTCGGCCGCTGCTGAGACCGCGCCGCTGGCGCGTTGCGCACGAGGGCAGAGAGGCTGGTACACGAGCGAAGCGCAGCACGAGATCTCCGAAGCTTCTAAGCAGATTAAGGCGGCCCATCAGCAACTGCGTGGGGCCTCAAAGAACAGCGCCTTCAAGGCGACCCTAAGGGTGATGCTCAAGGCGGCGCGGAAGAAGCGCAGCATCGGGATATGGAGAGCACTGGAAACGTTCTTCGAGGGCTATTTACGGCAGCTCGAGAAGA